CAACTCATTCAGACAGGTCACTTGCTCCATGTCGATTTTTTGGTACAGACTGTACCTTAAGTTCATGTCCAAAGCTGCAAGTTCGCCGTGTTCCGAATGCCCATGATCGCACATCGTCGTCAAAGCGATAGCTCAGTTCAGGGACCACAATTAAATCTACCAAGCCGTGGTACAAGATCAACCCTAAAATAACTGCCAATTGTCAAATGTTAACCTTAAACAACTGTTAATCTTAATAACTACCAAAACGGCAGCTTGTGATAAAAAAAATGTTATGGAGAGAAAGACGGTCTTTTAAACCAAAAAAAAACACACTGATAGTTTTTCACATTTGATGAACAGTAAAATCTTATGGGCTGACTGCCTTTTACCAGAAAATCTCTTACAACTCTATTTTAGACAGACAGGTCTTAAGTAATGTTAAGCGAATGCATTTCAGCACCCTAAACTTGAGTAAGAATATGGCATTTTCTTTATAAATCATTCAAGGACACCAAATGGAAAACTAGCAAGGTGCTCTGCATTCGAGATGTCACAGAGCAGGGGGCAATGGACATACGATGCCCGTTCATTGAACGTCTGAAGTATCAAATCCATATAACCAATCCACGATCACAGTACCGGAGCCATTAGAAAAATATTCTGAAGTTACTACTCAGGCAGTTTGAAAATAGTGGATTACGAAAATCAATGACGCTTTCAAAACGATCAGCCACAAAAAAAGTTTTCACAAGCTCAGAAATCATAAGTTCTGAGAGTCACTTCAGACCACATGCTGAGTTACGGAAAACACCTCAGGAACATGAAAACAAAATTCAAGGATAGCATCACTCATACGCCCACTGCAGCAACATATGGTATAATGCAATTACGAAGTTCGAAAGCAAATCATCGTCAAGAGAAGAACGTTATATAAAGTTGATATAGTATAGAAATTTGGAAAGGAAAAATTTTAAGTCACAGAAAGAAACAGTTGTTGATCTAAAAGGATTTGGTAAGGCATAGCCCAAGAATAACCTTTATCACAAAAAACATGCGCAGAAAACTGAACTGCGGTTACTTGTTTTCTCATCTGATATAATTATGGGTTTCTGAAGATATACTTATACGAAGGAGGTAAGTGGGACAATGAAGAGTGGTGGAAGTCGTTCTGCTTTGTATTCAGAAAAGTCGGTTCGACCGCAAAGTTTTTCTTACTAGCCGAAAGTTCCCTCAAGCAAGGTACACCGCATTGCATTTCGGTAAAACCTGCTGAGAAACGAGTAGCAAGTTGATTACCTTTAAACAGTAAGACAACTTGATGATCCGGCGTAATCACACTGGAACCTGAGAAATTTACTGTAACGCTGTCAGACGCGCACTTGCCTACCGACTGTAATTCACTTTAGCTGAACAAATCAACAGAGGTAACAGGGAAATTGACAAAACTACAAGAACGGTTGACTGCTCCTTGTTCGTAATTAACGGAGAATACCACTGCCCTGACTCTGTGCCCACACTAATCTGTCTCATGCGACATGCTGACCAAGATTATAGCTCATCGTCTAATCCGAGTCGAGGGTCAAGGTCTTCCACTAGGGTTAAAATCCGTCAGTACTGAACTCTACCAGTCAGTCGTGTAAATTGACCTGTACGTTGTCGGTCTTGATTTTGAAGCTGAGAGAATATTCTTCATTCACGCATCTTCTTATTTCTTCATTCCATAACTAGTTCCTAATGGATATTCTCAGCATCTTTCTTCCTAAAGCCCACTGTTGCAGTCTTAGCAATTCTTCATCCGTTTTTTTTTCATTCCAGGGTTTCGCAATTATATAAAGTACTTAGCAGTACTAACTATTATCACATCCAGTGTGGTTCCAACCGCAACTGATAATTTTCTGTCTTCAAGAATGTCAGCGTTTCTTTTCCATGTACTCCGTGATCTGAACCAAAAGAATTCTGACACAATTAGCCATCCATATCAGATGACTTTTTCTATTTGGTAATCATAATTGGTAACTGTAGCTGGTTGTGCAAATCCGGTTCTCATCATTTTCGTCTTCGGCCCCCTCATCCAGTCCAAGTTGCTCTCTCATTAACTCAAGCTTACATAGCATGGGCATAGCTTCAACATTATTTCGCCTTCGTCAGTAACAGAACGATGTCGTCAAAAGATCGAAAACAGCCGTCCGATTTTTTGATTGAACATCCTCCATGCCACAGGTCTTCAGAAACTTTGATTTCAACCGAATCTTCAGAGCCTAATTTTTTAATTTTAACTTAGATATAATTCTTGCAAAATTCCTAAGCATTCTTAATCAATTTTGTGGTGTTCCAACGCATCTGACTCAGAAGAAAACTAATTATAGAAAGTATTTTGCACGGTTGTTCAACAGATGCACATTATTTGCAAAAACAAGCAAAACGTTGCAATCTTTGGAAAGATATACATAACTTTCTGAAATTTGCTACCGAAAACAACAAAATCTAAATTAAAATACCAGAGTAATCTAAAATTCACAAATAAATTTCTCCACGGAACCGCAGTTTTCGTACTAACAAACAGAGAAGCAAAAGAGAAGCCTACTATTATCGTAGCTTCAACTCTTATAATTCAGGTTTATTAAAAATCAACGGATTTGAGAAAATAACCGTAGCAACAGGACCACTAACAAAACAGTAAGAGTCCATACAAATTCCTGACGAAACTTCGAAGCAACCGTCATATAAGATAAATGACAAAGCAACAAACATTAATGGAAAAATTTAATGCTTTTCGACTATAAAACGTAGCACCCGTTGTAAACAGTGACTAAATGATGACTCGACCAGCAAGTGCCCAAGATGCTGACTACAGGCGAAGGGGACAGATGACCAGTATGACATCTCGTTGCCAATCCTGTGTAATGCAAAACAGTGAGAACATCGTTGATGTCTGATTTCTGTCCATTGCTGCGACGATTTCTCATCGAGCATTCTGTCCGTCGCCCAAGTTTCTCCGTGTGGCACGAAAAACTGCATTTTGCTGCTGTGCCTTGAATTTTAACCACAATCGCCGACCGACCTGAAGACGTGCAAACATTGACCGTCAGTGAGCAACTATTTGGAATGGCAATTGCATGATTCAGTTCGACTAGGTTCGGTTGTTCACTCGCTTCGCGGTTCAACTCGTAAAACAGCAGCAGCAGCAGAAACAGCTATGAAATGATCATCGGGCTTCGATGGCATTCGGGAACCAGGTACTCCGCGCTGCTCCACCGACGAGACAGTTTCTTTTGCAACTCGACGGTCCTGTCATCGCAGATACGGTTTGATGCCTGAAAATAAAACATCACCGAATGAATAGTCATCGGTGGATATTTAGGGGTAGATGCAAAAAGCAATTATCGACCAACCTTTATGCAGTCAAACTGTTAGAAGTACTTTTAAAATGCGACAAAACCAAACAACACGAAACACCGACGCCAACCCTATTGACCCTCGTCGCAAACCATGCACGATGATCGATGATAATTCGGTCAAAACATTGAATCTATGTAAAAACTTTTTCTTGATTTTCATACTGGTAGTAATAGAGTCAAAACCGTATTCGCTGCATTTTTAAGAGATATTAATACTCAAAACCCAATTATTAACTATGTAAGACATTCCAAAAAAATTCAAGCGACCAGTAGTTGAACTATGGGCAACGACACAATAATTAATCTACGAATGCTACAATAATGCATCATGAATGCGATCCTTTCGGTATATATGAGAAATTTCGTTATTCAGAGAGTATAAAAAATGGAACAATGTATATAAGCACAAAATCTTAACTCTGCTGCCAACTGTTTGTGTAAAATAAATTCTCATTCAAATATGACCTTTGAATTTCATAATGACGCAGTACTCGCAGACGACAGAGTACGTCTTATTTTTGATTCAATGTTAACAGTACAAAGTTCAATCAGGTACATAAGTTTCGACCAACCTGAAAATCAAAGACAGAATAGGGACAACTAAAACTTAATGTGATATCCGCAGAGGCAAACAGTGACTACATGTGTCATACATGCAAATGTGCTCTATGTGAAAATGGAAAGATACAAAATCAAAATTCTATAGCTTCTGTTTACTCGCAACTGATATATGAGGAGATTAGTAGCAGGTCTCTGGTGTTTACGGCCTACAGTGAATTCACGAAATTTCGGTAACTCCTGTTTTCGCAATCCAGAGAGTTAATTGCCGTTGCTCCTAAATTCGTAACAAGTTCGTTTGAAAGGAAGACTGGTCAAGGGCTGAAAGAGAAACATTCTGCACAAACAGAAATTAAGTAAACTTATGTACAAAATAGGCCAAAATCTTACCAATCTTCTTAATTTACATATATTAAAAGACACTGATGAAAAATCTGAATATATTTTAGGTTTAACACGAAATCAACTCTAATAACAAAAATGATTCAAAATTTCAAAGAGCAGACTCGTTCTTTCGAAGATTTATATTAGACAAAGAATTTCAAGCTGGGTCTGTAAGCGTCTTCATATTTAATAACTAAATTGAGATGGCAATAACTTTGGAGTCCGAAATGATTTTTATTTTAATAAAAGATATCCTAATTACTGTGTATAAAAGCTAGCCTGAATCAGACATATTCCAAAAATATTCTATCCGCCACTTTTAGATTATTCATTTATTATTATATCTGAAGATTATGTGGTTGATGCGTTGGTGATCATACTGAAAACAGCATAAACCACGGTTTATTTAAAAACAATGCAAAAATAACGTCAATCAGATGACTAGCGATCTGGCACATTTCTCACGGGC